ATATTGTTCTATAGTTTCCACACTCTGTTGGGTCACCCTTCTTTGGAATGGGAACAAATATAGATCTCTTCCAGTCAATTGGCCAAGTGGTTTGTTCTCCAGATTTCTTGGTACAACTTGGTGAGAACATCGAGGGCAGCATCTGTTAGCTGAAATACGTCAATTGGTATACCATCTATTCCTGGGGGCCTTATTTTTTGCTGTTTCCTTCAAAGCAGCTTGAACTTCTTCCTTCATCACCATAGACTCTTGCTCATATGTTGTTTTGTGAAATTCTTCTGTCTGCCAATTCATTTCCATACAGTGACTCAGTATATTCTTTTCCATCTTCTTTTAATACTTCCTGGACCATTTAATATTCTGCCTAAAGCATCCTTATTTATAGCAACTTGAGGTTTGAATTTGTTCTTCAATTCCTTGAGTTTAAGAAATCTGTATAAGAATGTATAAAATAGAAGCATATGAATGAAACAATGTATATGAATGATTGTATGAAACACAAAGTACACATACCAAACACGATGTATATGCAAGCCAAGTTTAAAAAAAAAATTAAAAATTACCTTTATAAGAATAAGATCTGTGGGGGCCTAAGGGAGAGTGATGTGGGTGTGGTCCCTGGGGTAGGCGGGACCTGACGGGGTGGGGGGGGAGGGGCCATCCCAGCAGAAGGAACAGCTACAGCAAAGGCTCAGAGGCTGAGCTAGGGAGAGAGGGGTGTGTGGAGGGCCTGGGGTGCGTGGAGGGCCTGGGGTGCCTGGAGGACCTAGGAGGGGTCGTGGAGGGCATGGAGGTCCAGGGGTGCGTGGAGGCCTGGGGTCCGTGAAGGGGTTGTGGTGCGTGGTGGGGCTGTGGTGCGTGGAGGGCCTGGAATGCGTGGAGAGCGTGGAGGTCCAGGGGTGCGTGGAGGGGCTGGGGTGCGTGGAGGTCTGGGGGGCGTGGAGGGCGTGGAGGTCCAGGGGTGCGTGGAGGTCTGGGGTGCATGGAGAGGCTGGGGTGCATGGAGGGGCTGGCGTGCGTGGAGGGTCTTGGGGCTCTCACCTGGCCCGGATTGCAGCTCATCTCGGGAAGGACCGAGCCCGAGCGCGCCCTCTGCAGGGTGAACGTGCGCAGCTCTCCTGTCCTGCGGGGTCCTTGCCTCTGCCCCACCTGGGCCAACTTTTGCGTGTGGTGAGGGTGTGAGGATGAGGGGTGAAGAGGAGGGCGGGGCGAGGAAGGCGTGGCCCGGAGACAGTGGTTACCCAACCGTGTGGCTGCCCCTTTCCAGGGATCCTCACTGGCCACTGCGTGAACTACACCTCGGAGCTGCGCACCTGTGAGATCCAGGGCTGGTGTCCTGCCGAGGTGGACACGGTGGAAAAGTAAGCATGGCTCCCCATCGCTGACTGTGGGGGCTCTGTGGGTCCCTTGGGTCAATTTGAGGGGCAAGAAAGTGGCCCAGGGTGTCAGCATCTCACTGCCTCGCCCCCCTCTGGCCCTCAGGCTTAGAGAGGGCTTTGAACCAGCTCTTCTTCTGTCTGAATCAGAGGCCTCTGGCCATCGCTGCGTCCCCCTCTCCTTCCTTCCTGAGAGCTGAGGCCTTTGCTCTTCCCCACAGACCTATCATGATCGAAGTCGAGAACTTCACTATCTTCATCAAGAACAACATCCGGTTCCCCCTCTTCAACTTTGAAAAGTGAGTCCTACTGCACTCCCTAAAGCCAACAGACAGGGGCGCCCTCCTCATGAGCAGTGTTCTCCCGGCCCCTCCCCCACCCTCTCAAGCCCACCTTGAACCTTAGAGCCAGGTGGGGGTGGGGGGTATGGGGCCAACTCATCTGCCAGCCTCCTTAACTCGAGGCTCCAAATCCAGAGGAGACTTTGTTTTGGATTGAGAGGTGGAGCATCCTCCCCTTGGTCCTGGAATAAGGATGCCTGCACATTTTGGGGCCCAGGAAGGTGACCCTCCTTCATTTTACCCCCCCCCCACCCCCACCCCAAGCCCAGGTGTAGAGTCCCTTTCCTGTTAGTCTATTCCTTTCTCTCGGCCCCGTCATTGACATTTGTCAGCCGCCAGGAGAGCAATGTGCTGGCTGTGTACAGACACAGTACCAGGCGCCATCATCCTGGGAGGGGATTGGACATGGCACTAGAGAACCCTAACAGAGGTAAAGGTTGAGAGGTTACAAGAAAGATGTTGGGAAGGGGATCAGAACTCAGACTCCCCTGCTCAGGCAAAGAGGAGCCCTGAGACTTCTCCGAAAACTGAGGACACAGACATTTGTGCCTGGGCTGTCTCCACATTGAGGCCCTGCCAGTGCTGGAGATCCTTGGACGCCCTCAGCCACTAGCCTAAAGGTTGTCAGTTCAAACCCATAGAGCAGCTGCAAAGAAGAAAGCACCAGGGAACTGCTTCCAGAAAGATTTTTTTTTTTTTTTTAAAAAAAGCAAATGAAAACACCAACCCCAAAGCAGTTGAGTCATGTTCCACCTGGCTTCACGGTGTTTCTGTCTTTTGTGGAGCCGTTGGTGGGTTTGAACAGCAGACCTTCCAGTTAGCAGCCTGATACATTTACCCACTACATTTCCAGGGTGCAAAAAAAAAAACCAAACCCCAAAACAAAACCCCAACAAAAACCCCCACCAACCCCAAAATAACTCTATGGAGCAGTTCTGTTCTGCAATAGGTGGGGTCTCTATGAGTCAGAATGCACTCCACAGTGAGGGGGTGGGTTTGGCGTCGGTGGTGCAGAGGGTTAAGTGCTGGGCTACTGGCCAAAAAGGTTGGCAGTTCGAATCCCCCCAGAAGTACCAGGGAAGAAAGGTTTGGCAATATTGCAAAAGGGTTGCAACCACAAAAATACTGCACTGGAGACGAAGGGACAATCTCCTCCTATACCAGTCAGATCATATTTGATGGCACACACACACAAAAGAATAAAATACTACAGCGCACAAGTATATAACTGCTCACCTAGGGTCCCCATGTTGTGTTAGATGCAGGTAAGTTAGAAGGGATTCATTTAGGGATGACTGTGCAGCGGGTATTCAGAGGCTGTAAATTTGCACGGGAGGAGATTGTCCATCTTGGTCCCACAGAGCAGCTGGTGGATTCAAACCACCTGCCTTTGGGCTGGCAGAGCAACTCTTTAACCACCAGACCACTAGAGGTTCCCAGCAGTCAGAGCCAATTCCGTGGCAGCTGGGGTGGCTTGGTTTGCTCTTCTCTTTGCAACCCGAACCCTGCCTTTCTCCTCTCCTCCTCCCAGGGGGAACCTCCTTCCCAACATGACAGCCGCTGAAATCAGGTCCTGCCGTTTCCACCCGGACAGTGCCCCCTACTGCCCTATCCTGAAAGTGGGCGACGTGGTCAAGTTTGCAGGGCAGGATTTTGCCAGACTGGCCAGCACGGTGAGGATGCTGCCAACTCTCCCATGGTCCAAAGTCGGGGAGCGCAGCCGGTTCCCCTGAACGCTGGCCCCTGGGCAGGTGGGTGGGAGGGGCACTCAGGGAAGAGGGCGGTGCACCACCTGGTGGCACGTCGCAGCCCTGCAACTGACTCTGCGTCTGAATGCTCCCCACCTGCCCCAGGCCTCCTCGGTGGCCCTGCCTCTCCCGCCCCTTGCCCCCTCCCTCAGCGTCTACTCCCTTTGCCCCTCTTTCCCTGCAAGGAAGTACTACCCAAAAAGAGAGACCCAAGTGACAGGACAGTTGATCTGTGTCACTTTGTCACCTAGTACAGTTAGGGGACTGAAGATTGGGTGGGTGCTCTCCCAGCTAGAAGACTTCTTCACTTAGCAAGTGTTGATACAGAGAAACCAGTTAGCACGTTCCCTGCCCCAACGCCCCTGCCCTTCGAGGGCTGGGGGGCAGAGCTTCCCGTGGAGCGCTCAGGCCGGTTACCTTTCCCCAGGGCGGAGTCCTGGGCATTAAGATCGCTTGGGTGTGCGACCTGGACAAGTCCTGGGACCTGTGCACCCCCAAGTACACCTTCACCCGGCTTGATGGCCTTTCTCAGAAGAGCAGGATCTCCCCAGGCTACAACTTCAGGTAACCCCCCGCGCGCCCGCGATAAGGAGGAAGGGGCTGTCTAAAGTACGTCATCTCCTCTCCCTTCACTGACTCCGCAGGTAGAGCGGAGAACTGTACAGAACTTCTTCTCAACCCACAGTGCATATGGGGGAGAAAAGGCGCCATGTTGCCCACAGATTTACTCTCAGCGAGGAGGGTGCTCGAGCCATTGCTTCTCGGTGGCCACAGGCCACAGTGGCTTCCCAGTTGATGGAGTCACCCTCTAGGTTGGCAGTCAGATCAGATGGCCCAGGTCTGTGATTCTGTGATCCTGTTCTTAGGCCTGGTTGGGAAACTCTAAGTGGCTCCAGGTAACCCCATTCTCTGTCTCCAGGTAACCCCATTCTCTGTCTCCAGGTAACCCCATTCTCTGTCTCCAGGTAACCCCATTCTCTGTCTTGTGCTTGAATTTTCTTCAGTTTATTGCTCCACAAAGTGAGAGCGATAACTGTTATCATTTTACAATATGGCTATTTTGTATTTCTGGCCATAATCAAAGGGCCCTGGTGACTCCGTGGTTAAAATACTGGAATGTTCCTGGAAGAGAAAGATATGCTAGCTAGTCTGCTTCTAAAAAAAAAGTGACAGGCTCAGACACCCCAGGGGGCACTTTTGTCCTGTCCTGTAGGCCACTATGAGTAGGAATCAACTTGAAGGCAGTCAATTGGGTCTGTAGCCAGCAAATTTCATCTAAGTCTCAAATAGTAATAATGATGATTGCGCTTTGTTCTGCTTCAATGCCTTTCCACGTAAGAGCTCAAACCAGACTTCACGTATCACCTTACTTGTAAAGACCCAAGACTAAGGGACCTTTCTGAGGGTTATTTTCCCATTAGAAGGCAGAGAAGAAAAATGAGCCAGAGGAAAAGCCGTTTCAAACCAGCCTGAATGTTCTTGCAGAAGCGCCTGAGTCCCAAAGGGTGCGTTCTACTCTTGGTAGTTCTTCTTGGTGGTACCGAGGTCCTCCCCTCCCCCCTCAGCTTGCTTTCCTCCCCTTTTATCTCTTGTGACATAAAAAGAGCTCTGGTGGCCTAATGGTAAGGAGTTGTACTGGCCACCCAAAGGTATGAGGTTCGAATCCACCAAGTGCTCAGTGGGAGAGCAATCGCCTTTCATGCAACTACCTACCTCTGAAAACCACTGGAGGGTCAGCTATGGGTCTATTCAGACTCGTTGTTACACGGCACTGGGCCAGGCCGCAAGCTTCCCTTGCATCTGATCCAGCCTGTAATGGATTAAGGAGCGTTACATCCCACCCTTAACCCTCCCATAACTGTCTGGTTTATCAGTTCATGGGAGATCATTACATAATTGCCACATTATATCATTATGTACATGTATCCTTGGAGGCAAGGATTCTGAAGTTTCGTCTGACATACTTTGGACATGTTGCAAGGAGGGACCAGTCCTTGGAGAGGGACATCATGCTTGGGAGAGTGGAGGGACAGGAGAGGAAGACCCTCAATGAGATAGATTGACTCAGTGACTGGGGTAATGGGAATGGGTGTGTCAGAGACAATACGATTGGCACAGGATAGAGTGGGGTTCAGAGCTGTTGTACGCAGGGTCGCTATGAGCCACAGGCGACTAGATGGCACATAACAACAAGTATCTTGGGTGGACAGACCTTACACACATTACACTAGGACTGGGCTCTGCAGGATTTTTGATGACTGATTTTTTTCCAAAGGTCACTGGGCACCACTGGGTGGACTTGAACAGCCAACCTTTCAGTGAATTGTTTGCTTTACCCAGGAACTGTCATAAAATGGTGATAGTATCACAATTATCTTGAGGATCCTGTGAACCAATGCATGAAAGCCTTCAGCTCTCTGCTTTATCGTTTCCTTAAGAGCCAGAATTTTCTGTTGTGTAATTGTTCTGTACTGTGCAGTCGGAACCAACCAACAGCAAACCCTCCAGCAGGTTTTCAGAGGCTGTAAATCGCACAGGAAGAGATTGTCCGTCTTTCTCCTGCATAAACAGCAGATATATTTGAACCGTGTACCTTTGTGTTGGCAGTACAACTCCTTACCACTAAGCCATCAAAGCTCCCTTCAGAAGCTTCTAACATAATGAAACACAAGATATTATACACTCCGCTCAGCTCATTGCTGTCAAGTGAGAACTGACTCAAAGCTGGCCCTCTGCTGGGTCTCCAAAGTTGTCAATCACACAGGAAGTGAGTGCCTGGCTTTCTCCCCTGGAGCTGCTGGTGCCTTTGAGCTGCCAGAGAGACTCTGGCAACTCAACTCCCTACCGTCTATGCCTCCAGAGCCCCCCTAAACAGGCCCGATAGGGAGCAACCAGGCAAAAAGAAATACGTGGAGGAATATATTTTGGCTACTTGTTCAAATGATCACAAATTTCTTTTGTCTTAAAAACCATCCATGGTGGTGTTTATTTCATAATAGAATGAGATCTCTCTTTCACTCGTTGCCACGGAGTCTGAGTCAGCACACAGCAGACCCTCCACTGGGTTTCTGAGTCTGTAAATCATACTGGAAGGGAGCGCTTATCTTTCTTTCTCGGGGCCGCTGGTAGATTCAAACTTGCAGAGAGACTTATTTTTCAGTTTAAGATGTAGATCTATATTCTCTGGAAAGAAGAATTTTTAAAAATTGAAAATGCTTTCATAGTCAACTCCAAACTTTAAAAAAAAAAAGCAGCTATAGGAAACAACACATATTTTAAAGTAGGTTAAAAATACTGTTTGGCTCACTGGTAGGAATTGGCATGTTTATCCAGGCGGTACCTCACACAGAAATCAATACAAAGGGTATTTGTATGGGAGCTTAAAATAGTAGCGTATTAATAAAATTCTCATGATCCAAAATGCAAATTTTCATCTTCCTAACTCCCCTCTGGCCGGTGGGAATTTTTCAATCCTCAAAGAGTTCGTTTGGCAGGAAGCATATGCACAATATGACTGCCATGACGACCGTCCCAGCTCATGACGTCACAGAGTTTCAGCACAAGGTCTTTCATGTAAAAAGAATTGGTTGGGAGGTTTTTAGCTTTAATTTGGGGTGCTCTGACTGCCCCTCTCATCCTGTCATGGGCACCCCGGTCCGAAGATAGAACAGGCCCTCAGTAAAATTGGATGGATGTGGGGAGGTGGGGGAGGGAGGCTCTCAATCTCGAAAGGACCCCACCAGTGTGATTCCTGGGGGCGAAGGGAGACCACACAGGGGAAAGATGGGCATCTCCTCCAGTGTAATTTACTGCCTCTGAAAACCTGCAGGAGGGCCAGCTGTAGGTCAGTTCAGACTCAACCATGCACAACAGCAAAGGAAGCCGTAGGGATTCTGGGGACTTGGGTGGCCTGCTTGGTAGAAAGTTGTGCTGCCAACACAAAGGCAGACGGTTTGAATCTATCACCTGCTCCTCGGGAGAAAGATGGGTTGTCTCCTCCCATGTGATTTGGGTCGGTTCCACCTCAGCAGCAGTGAGTGGAGTTTCCTCACTTTGAAGGGGAACCATAGGGTGTTCTGGGGGCGCTGACTGTGGCGAGCGGCGCTGCTCTCCCAAAGGCAGCACGTCTCCACAGGTTCAAATCCACCGGCGCCTCAGAGGGAGGAGGATGAACAGTCTTCTCGCGTTATAATTTTACAGCTTTGGACGCCCCATGGGGAGTCCCTCTGAGTTGGAACCGACTCCACAGCACTGAGTTTAAGTTTGAGTTTTTTAGAGGGAGATCATAGGTTAGAATCTGTCAGCCACTCTGAGGAAGATGATGGGTGTCCCCCTGTTGTAAAGATTTGTGACTTCAGAACTATTGCACATGTCTTCCCCCCCCATGAGAAAGCCTGTGGATCCGACTTACTGGCTTTTGTTTCATTTTGGAAGGGAGGGCGTTGAAAATGGGTGACTGACTCAATCACCAGAGACATTTAGGTGGCCTCCTTGGAAGGGAGAAAACTACTGACTCTTGTGATTGAAAAGAGTTTCCATGAGCCCAAGGAATAGCATTGACAGACAGAACTAGCTGACATCCATGACAAGCATGTGGGGACAACAGTGGCCTAGGGGTGGGATTTTTGCCTCCCATCTGGGAGACTGTGGTTCAATTCCCGGTCAAGGCACTGTACGTGCCAGCATCACTTGTCTTTCAGCAGGGCCTTGGGTTTTGTTTAATGCTGAGCACATTTTGGTGGAGCTTCTAGACTGGGAGGGACTAGGAAGAGATGTCAATGTCGAGTGATGTGGTTTTGAAAAGCAGCCAGGGAAGATGCTGTGAATCCCACAGGCCAATCAGAAACAGCCCCCGGGGAGATGCAGCACTGGGCAGGATTTCATTCTGCTGGCCATGGGGTCAGCTCAGCAGCAGCGCCCGGTGGCAAAGGAAGCACTCTGCTCTGCTTCCTGCAAATCCTTCCACTTGGCACCCACTGCCCTCACCCTGCCTCAGGCCGCTAGTACCAGCCAACACGCAAGCTGGGCTAAAGGCCCACGTAGGGTGGGGTAGGCCACAGGGGGGATGGTGGTGTTTGCCATCCAGTGGGAACCTACCCCTAGCTGACCCTCCAGAGGCAGTAAATCACGTGACAGGAGCTTGCCCATCCTTTCCCTGTGGAGCAGCTGGTGGAGTCGAACCACATGCCTTTGAGATTGCAGGACAACTTCTTACCATCAGGTCATCAGAGCTCATAGAACACCCTTCATTAAGAACAAAAGGTCACAAGCCAGATTCGGCACAGGCCACAGTAAGGTTTCTAGGATTCCTTATCATTAGTGCCGCACCTCAGACTCTCCAAAAGCAGCTTATCATTGGCAACAGTGCGTGGTGCCTGGTGTTGACCATGTCTGTGAGCAGAGAGTTTGGAGTGCTTGGGCTCGCCTCTTCTTTACATACCCTGAGGTAGCTGTCGCTGTCTTCCCACTTCACAGATAAGCTAACCGAGGCTCAGAGAGGTCCGAAAGCTTCCCAAGCTCACACAGTGAATAACTCTGGAACCCCTGCATTCACTCACATTGTC